TGTGCCGAGGACTAGTTACAACATTGGCACACATGACTCAGGCAGCCTGGAACTCTGTTCTGGGCTGTTTAAAATCAAATCTCTGCAAAAGGTATGCCTGTCATCAGTGCACAGTGATGACAGGTGTAATGGTCTTCTCAAGGGGAGTCTTGATGTGCCCTTTCTCCTTTCATGTGCTCCCTTCCCCCTTTCTGCATTCAGAGTCATTATTTTACCCTCGCTCTCCCTGTTGGGGAAAAAAAAATAAGTTTAGCCTAGATAATTGATTAATTGATATCGTATGGATCGTTGTGTTTGTATGATTATAGAGACCGTACTGGAGTATTTGTGCCGCCTGATATTTGGGACTACACACCAATCTCTCTGGCTGACTTATCTACCTGCCTATTTTGCAAATAAATCTGTTTGGTCAAAATCCATGCAGGCCGAAGAAACTGAGATGCTTACTTATGAGGACATAAACTAACTTGGAAGGTCTTGAAGGTGCAGTGCTGTCTAATGCCTCTAGTTCTATATTAACCCTTTCAACAATTGGGGTGTTACACAGAGCATTGTGGTGAACATCCAGCATACAAAATAAGTATTTGGAATTTGACATTGTCTTGTTGTCAGCCATATTGTTACCCTTAGCTATATTATGGAACAAAGTTTATGGTGTCTAAGATTCTTTATACTCCTTGAAAGACTTATTCTATTTTTCTGGACTATGCTGGACTATTGAACTATTTTGTTATTTTTATTTTTGTAGAGTTAGCTGGAGAGAGAGGAAGTGTTAGATGACTCACGGATGGATGTACTATGTGTGTCGTTGATGTATGTTGAGTGTGCCAAGGATGGATTCCCATGTATGGAGGAACTGAGTGTGGATATGACTGGACCGTTGGAATACGGACATGATTAGGAGACATAGGACGCAAGGTCCGGGTTGGGATTATTGTCAGAATTGCAAGCTGATTATAAGTTATCTCATGATTTAATAGGTAAGTGGGCCTTTTCAAATCAATCAAGAAGTGTTTCCCAATCCCTCCCAATACCCGAGCTATGTACTCACAGGTGTGGGTTTTATAAGTCACAAGTGATGTCAACATGAGGGGATAACATGTCTATACAGTCATGGCCCCCACTTAGGGTTTCCCTAGATGTGCTTTTTTCCTCAAATATGAGTTTTTGCCACTGTTTTTTTTTTACCTGGCCCCAGATCACCCGGTGGAATGGTAATCCTAGACCCTGGTCCAAGGAGGGGGATAGGTATTTTTCTCACTTTGACTATAATAATAATATTCCCATTGTTGGGAATAATACACTTTGCCTATACTGACCCAAGGCTCAAGCTACAGATGACATGATGTTCAGTCTGTTTAAAATTGATTAACATGTCAGCTATTTGAAATATTTAACTTGTACGCTTAAGAGATGTTTTCAGCAGACGATTGAAAAAGCTGAAAATCGACAGCTCGAACTCCTCTTAAAGGGAAAACTTGCGGCACAGAACAAATGGGGGAAATCGAGGTGAAGAAATAATGAAAGTCCCGCAGACGTGATTAGCACACCTGAATATACCTCCTTTTGTCTCTATGCCACAGGCCTCCCATGGATATTTCATGATATGATCTAGAAGGGGATTTGAAGGATAGAATATCCTTTTTAGAAGAATAAAATATCCATTTTACTATCTATTCTAGCTGTTTATTATTATTTTGCAAATGTTCCTTTATTTTGGTATTTGTAACATCTGGTCCAAACTGCATATTTGTGATTAAAGGGCAATTTGAAACTTTATGGGGAGACTTGAAACAGATGTTATGATATTTGAATTTCTCTGAAACCTTACTGCTTACGTCAACATAGGATGTAACGAGAAACAGCTGCTTGTGATCAATAACAATTGTTATGCAACTGTCACCCCCACCTCCATGAAAGATATGTATAAATATAACTCGAGTCTAAATAAATTTGAACTTGTTTGGAAGGCATTTCAGAGTGTGTGTGTGTTTACTTACTGGTTCTTGAAACGTTTCGTAAGAAGGGGAGCCAGTTTCCATCCATCAATCCGAGGGTCTTGTGCATAGCTGATTTTTTCCCCCAACACTCCCCATTCCCATAACCATCTCAAAACAGGCTCTAAGCCAGTAAAATTGTCCAAACAATTGCTTCTCTATGACAATCATTTGATTGGAACACACATTGCCCTTGTTGACATTAGAAGAATCATACAGTGGAATGCAGTGCTGGGAGAAGGGTAGAACTGACAAATGCATTTACACACAAACAATTACACCCCATAAAAATACCACACTGCCTGTACATACTACACTCATACTTATTTACTGATACACCACAGAAACACAACACATTCACAAACTGCCACTTCATAGAAATACACTCCTATTCACACACTGATTCTCCACAAAAAATATAGCGTATATTCACATATTGACATTCTATAGAAATGCACCCCATATTCACACATTAAGACTTCACAGAAACATCCTCTCCGCAGAAGCACTCCCCAACATTTGCACTGTCCACAGAAATACAGTTCCTACATTCACATACCAATGTTCAACATGTTTCTATATTATATTTTTAAAAATATCTAATGAACAAATATATATATTTTCATCACCCCCTCTTCTCCCCATGACTCTTTTCCTAAAACTGTCAAAGTAACCTAATAAGCTCTCATTGAAAACATTTCTGGGAACCTACTTGGTTACCCCTACTTATACCATTTGTGTCACTATACCCCACTCCTCTGTTCCTATGCATCCACTTGTTTGGTTATAATTATGTGTTTGTTAGTCCACCCATTGTACAGTGCTACAGAATTTTCTGGCACTATATAAATAATAAAATAATAATAATAAATAATAATAATATAAATACAGATATTTTTATGGATTCTCCTGTTTTTCCTTCTATTCAGTATTCACACTTGATCTGTGAACCAAATGGCTGGAAAATGCTTCTATCAGTGTACTACAAAATATATATATAATAGGTATATATTTTGCAGCACACTCACTGGCCCATTTTCATGCACTTTTTGCTCTTATGATTGAAAATCTTGGCTGTCCCGATTCAGAAACTTTACTTGTAAAAATGTTCTATTGCATGAAAAATTGGTCAGTGTGAGCCAATTTTTTTTCGCTATACACAAGTCTACTTTGAAAGGGTTTTAATCCTTTCCAGACACACTTTCTCAAAAGCTTTCATACAGTTAGACTTGACTTGATATGGATATAAATTAGATTTCTTTAACTGTTCTCTTTAGCTTAATAAACTTCAGTATGAAGATTTATTTTAAACAGTTTTCTTTTATATATACATATATATAAATATATATAAAACAACCAAGTAAGTTTCAGAATTATGTGTAGGATAGCAGGGGGTACGTTTAAAATCCTCATACCTAAAATATGCACTCTATTACAGAAATGTCCTTTCTCCCTTAACTTTTCTGAATTCTCCTTTCTCCTTCCTTTTATGAATCCCTAAAATATTTTATAGTGAAATTTGGTGACTTGCTCCAAATATGTATTTTCTAAATTTGTTATTTTAAAAAAATTCTTCTCATGCGTTGGATTTTAAGGCTTTTCAAAGCAAGTTTTTGTAACAAAGAAATATCTGAAATGACTACTCTAAATCTTACCTATTACTGGTGGGGTATATAATGTGGGTTTTTTCACCTTCTGTTTACCCATGTATTTCCATCCCAAACCTTTTTATTTATTTATTTTTTTTTTAAATCTTTATTTTTGTTGTGCATGTTGTATACAGGCTACCTGCATTGCCAAAACAGCTGATGCAGGTATTTCATTATACGTAGAACAGTGGTATGGCAAACATATTTCTGGCACATTTTTGTATTGTTAGTAGTGGAAAATAGTTGAGCTGTATTCCGTTTAAGAGTGCAATAAAACAGGATATCTCTAGCAAGTCTAAAAGTAGCCCACAGACCGGATTATGTGTACTGGAGGGTTTGTGCCATCAGGTTAACAGGTAAGGCGTATGAAAAAGCAGGAAAATCAACTTTGTATGGCAAAACCAGTATAGCTTATCATAATCTACATTGTGGGTTACACCTGGTCTGAGGGTGTTACAGTAAAGATATATAAAACAGTAGCTGATCAACTCAGCTGAACTAAGCCAACTACCCTTCTTAGGAATGGCATCAGTAAGATCCCTTGTTGCCATGGGGCAGGCAGGGCCATGAGCCTCTTGCGAACAACTAATGAGGGTATGAACATTTGTAAACAAAGAACAAGAGGCGAACACCCGCTCTTAATGCTGAAATCAGTGATTAGGGTGGGGGGGTAAAGAGAGGGGTACGTAGACCCCAGAGCCAGCAAGTGAGAGTTTGGTTGTACATGTCTCTAAGGATGTTTATCAGACCACACATAATGCAGATTTAAGTATCTAAATATTGAGAAAAAAAAAAGGTGTAATATATTAAACATTAACTTGGATAATAGCATTGGTATACACATTGCGTGGTAGTATAGAATGTTCAAGCTGTCCCGGTGGCAGCGGTGTTGTTTCTTTGGGTAGCCGGGACAAACGGGCGGATTGTAGCCAAGTCCCATGCCTGTGGATTTGGCTTAGGCGCTGGTGGCTGCGGCCCCGTTTCAGTGGGGGGGAGTTCGAGTTGTTGGAGTATGTTGCCCATTTCAGAGATGTCGGTAACTTTAAGAGTCCTAGTCCCATTAGGGATCAGAAGGCTTCGTGGTGCCCCTCATCTGAAGGGTTTCTTATGCTGTATCAGTACTGGGGTTAGTGGTTTTAGGGACCTCCGCCATGTCATGGTGGCCCGGGATATGTCAGGTTAGAACAGCAGGGAATGTCCCTCAAATTGGTATGTTGGTGTTGCGGACCGCTGATAGGAAAGCCTGCCTGTCCGGGCATTGCTGGAAACGCACAATTACATCCCTGTTGGTTTGCTGGGAGTTCGTCTGCGGTTGTGGTAGCCTGTAGTACCCCTCCAACATCATGGCTTTATCTTATTTTGGAGCAAATAGGCTGGATAGCAGTCGTCGAATGAGGTGGGGGATTTCTGCCATTGTAACGCTCTCAGACAGGCCCTTTATTTTTACATTATTCCATCGCCTGCGATCTTCCATAGCTGCAACTTGGTGCTGGGTTTGGGTCAGGTCGTTTTTGGTCTTTGTCAGCTCGGTCTCCAGGCTATTAATGTGGGCCTCATGTGCTGCTGTGCTGATTTCTGTGTCATGCAGTCTCACTGACACCCCGTGGATTTCCTCTTTGAATGAGTTGATTTCTGCCGCGATATGTCGGCGTAGATCATCAAGGAGGGCTTTCAGTCGATCTTCAGTGACTGGGGGGCTGCCCTGTGCCTTAGGCTTGCCTGCTCTCTGTGTCTCCGCCATCAGTTCCAGGTTTGAGAGTGAGTCTTCACTGGTTGTTCGGGAGGGTGCGTCGGAGAGCGGCGCCATGACAGGCCTGGAGGATGCTTGCGGCCTTCATAGAAGTTCGCCGATATCGGCGGTGGATGGGTGTTTTTCCACCCGGTATTTTTTGCTTTTTCGCCCCATTACCTTGGGGGGTTGACGTGGTCTGGTTTTTTGGCCAATAACTGCTTATCTTTCCCCGGCTTGAACGGAGCGCTCATCCCAAGCCTTTTAACTGTATTTGTTCCTTACCTTTTGATTATTTTCTGCATTCTGCAAACTGTTAGTTTTTTCCCCCTGATATTTACCCTTAATTGTTTTCCTAGGAAAAAATCCTCTTCAGTGCTATCTTTTTTTTTTCATTCTTTCACATTGTCCCTACTCCTAAAATTAGATGCATGGTAAAGTTGACTATGAGCTAAATTATTCTATTTATTTTTATTTTTGTCCGTTATGTTCTTGTCATGTGTGGTCAACTATCAAAGGTAAATGTAATTAAAACAACTTCTATTTCCTTAGATTCCAAAATATCAGTGGCATATAATTAAATATACTGACAGACTACAGACAACACTGTAGTGGTTATGGTGCCTGGAGTGCCTTGACACCCCCATTCTAAAGGGTCAAAATGTTTAAGAATGGTTTGACTTCCTTTCTGGTTTCTGCCAGATGTGCTCCTTGCCTCCACCACTGTCAACGGAGAGCTGGAAGCTCCTAAGAAGTTAGCTCTTTTGAGTCAGGAAGATCAAAAGAAAGCAACCAAGCAAGTTCATGAGACAATCGCTTCTTGTTATTTACTTTTTGTGGGATTCACTGGTGGCCATTACATATCTCCACTATTTTCGACTTCAGCTGACACACTGCAGATGACAAAAATATGTAAGGATCGCCAATGCATCCTAGATTCTAACACAACAAGTTCAAAGTTGAAAATGATCCTAATAGACACAAGAAGTGAAGAAGGCCCTTTAAACAAGCTTGTGATTTAGAAAGGTTTAATTAGTGACATATGAATTTCGATCTTCCATCCAGACTCTCATGAAACATACAATGACATACAGTGTGAACATTTGTAGACTTCCAACAGTACTTACTGGATGAGATGTCTCCATATTTCAGGTTTACAAACCTTGAGTTTTTTTTCTCACTTGCAAAAATTATTTTGTGAGTTATGCTGGTTAGTTACAAGACCACTATGAATTTAATTAAGCAAGACAGCATTTTTATGTATTAGTTCCCAATCAAGCATATTCGGTTCTCTCACATTGAAATTTGAGTTTTCTCACTAGTTAGTTCATGTAGCAGAGAGTTAAATGGTACGTTTGTTTGTCACACTGAATGCTACATGTTTTGTTTTGTTTTTATTTTCAACCAGGAAATTTTTTTATATTTTCACACATAAACGTAACTTTCTCAAGGGAATTAAATAGCAAAACAGATGGTAATTTTATTTGTCATCTGTTTTGTTGCTTGTCTTGTGTTATTAAATGGAGCCCAAGGTGTGACAGCTGTAGAATTTTTAGGAAGCACGCTTCAGAGTCAAGTGAGTTACTATTTATAAAGAATTTCAGGTGGGTTGAAAATAATTTTATCCTCCAAAACAAAGATCTATATGAAAAAATATTGGCTTCTGCTGCCCACACAGAGGTGAAAATTTATACAAACTTAAGAACATGAACAACTTTGTGTTTTGCTAACAAATTTAATTAAAACATGAAGGGAATGTGCTCCACCATTTTAGAGGTTGTTCAATTAAAGAGTTTCAGTCTATCATCATGACATTTTTTTTATTTAGATAGAAAATACATTTTTTCATTAATATATTTAAAAACACATTCCCCTTTATTAAACATTGCATTAGGTTTATTATACATCATACTTTTCAGCTGTCCTGCAATTGGCAGTCAGTCGCGATTTTGGAGTATCTCCTGCCAACTCCCTTTATATTCTGGTAATTTTTTTGGATGGTAAAAATGAATTTCCCAGAAAGTGCAACATAAATGTATTTAATGATACTCATCTACTGTGCTTTGCTATGTGGACATTTGCCCATGTGAGAGGATTTCAGCAGCAGTTTGCACTAGGGAAGCACTAACCAATAAAAGTGCTATTACCACATGGTAAGGTCAGTGAGAGTGTCAGACACGATGCAAGAAGTTTCTAATGCAAAGTAAGAGAGTGTAATTTGTAATTACATTTCTGGGTGGAACTTTATTTTAGAGCAATGCTACATAAGCAAGTAATGAGTGGGCAGTGACAAGAAGCATGGACAATTTTTTCCTGCAGCCTTGATAACTTTATAATAAAGAAAAGGGGTTTTGTTTGCTAAATAGTGAGTAACGGTGAGTTGGCTATTGATTTATAAATTAGAGTTAAAATAGCTAACTTGTAATACTCATGTATATACAGCTTCTAAATATTGGATAATTGAAGACTTGCCGTTTAGTTAGATGACTCACTTCAGCATACAGGGTTATTCATTAAACACCAGATTTTGTCCAAATGGACACAATCCTGTGAAAATGACCAAAATCTGACTGCATTGGCAATTCACATATTTCCTGAAGCCAAATGCAGTCAGGATTCGGTCGATCTGACCGATTCTGCAATATTGATTCACATGATTTAGAAAAATTAATCATTTATTAATATTATTGCTAATATTAATATTTATTTAATTTGTATCCGAACTTCGCGAGAAGTGAGACTTGGCTGTAAGAGCACTTTGATGGGTTGGCTAACTAGCCAACCAATCAGACAGGTCTTTACCAAAATCCAAATCGTGGGAAATTTTCCAACACTTTGCAATACCTATCATAGCGAAGGAACGTGCATAACTGCATTATTAAAATTTTTAAGTTTGTTCCACAAAGCATATTTATGGTAATATATAGATATTAAATATTCCAATATTGAAGTGGAGCGCTGAGTGGAAAGTGAACCTTGCATAAAATATGCTTACCCCTGTATGATATATTTGAGGGAGTAATAAAAATCAAATGGGAAGTGGCGATCATGGAAAAATATTTAAAAGAAAATTTAACCCCTTAAGGACCGGACTGTTTTGACCATGTTGTACATTAACTAGAGCTGTTTGTGGTGTTTGTGTTTAGCTGTTATTTTCCTCTCTCTCATTTACTGTTCCCATACAAATGATATATTGTTTTTTTCATGACAAAAAGGGCTTTCTTTGCATACCATTATTTCTATCAAGTCATATAATTACATTTAAAAAAAATAATAAAATATGGAAAAAAATAAAAAAAACATGTTCTTGGACTTTTACTTGAAAAATCCTTTACTCATCTACAAAAGCTAATGAAAAAACTGCTAAATAGATTAACAAATTTGTCCTGAGTTTAAAAACACCCAGTGTTTATATGCTGTTTTGCATTTTGTTTGCAAGTTATAGGGCTATAAGTTCAAGTAGGATATTGCTGTTTCAAAATATACATTTTTAAAATTCATCAATAGTGACATTGTAACACTGTTATCTGTCATAAATCTCTGAAAAACACCCCACATGTACATATTTTTTTTAAAGTAGACAACCCAGAGTATTCATCTAAGGATATTTTGACACTTACTATGCAGCCATTTTTCCACCAATCTTTGCCAAACTTCGCATAAGTAGTTTATTTAATTTTTTTTCCACATACATTGCAATTCAGGTATTAATTCACAGATCATGTAATGTGTTGCTGCCAAAAAACACACTAATATGTGTTCAGCAACATCTCCAAAGTACAGTGATACCACCCATGCATAGGCTTGTTGGGTTGTTAGGGGGCTAAAAGGTCACATTTGACAGGTGCGCATACTACCTACACCTATGTCAACTACACACATGTACTATGTGGGACATTTTTTAAGCCGGCCAATGTATTTTACCCCTATCAAACCATATATTTTTAAAAGGTAGACAACCCAGGGTATTTTAAATGGTGGTATTTTAACACTTTCCATGTACTGAATTCTACCACGAGTCTTTGTCAAACTTTTGGGTAGTAATGTTTTTTCTGTTTTTTTCATACACATTGTACTTTAGGCATGAATTAAAAGATCCTATTATGTGTCACTGCCAAACAACACCCCAATATGTGTTCAGCAACATCTCCCAAGTACAGTGATACCACCCATACATAGTCTTGTCAGGTTGTTAGAGGGCTAAAAGGCCACATTTGGCAGGTTTGCATATCCATTTTCCAACTTGGAATTTTGACATGTAGTCAACTAGCACCCATATCCTATTTGGGTCAATGTATTTTACCCCCATCAAACCATATATTTTTTTAAAATAGACAACCCTAGGTATTTTAAATTGTGATATTTTAACACTTTTCATGCACTGAATTCTACAACCGGCTTTTGTCAAACATTTGGGTAGTATTTTTTGTGTGTTTTTTTCACACACATTGTACTTTAGGCATGAATTAACATATGTTATGTATCACTGCCAAGCAACACCCCAATGTTCAGCAACCTCTCCTGATTACAGTCAGTAAAAGCAAAAAGTTTAAAAAAAACACTGTGGTACTCCCCAGATGTGGCCAAAATAGTAAAAAACAAAAAGTTATCATTTAGTAATTATAAAAAAATTCCAGAGTGATGAAGACAGACAGATCTATAAGATTAGGCAGAAAGAGGCTAAGCAAGTTATAAGAACCTCCAAAGCACACACAGAAGAGAAAAGGAAAGTAAAACAAGGATTAGTTAGATTAAAAACAAAAGAAGGAATGTATGTAGAAGAGGATAAAGGTCTTGCTGATTGCCTCAATTAATATTTTTGTTCAGTATTTACAGATGAAAATGAAGGAAAGGGCCTCATTTAGGAAAAAGGACAAATTAATCATTTGATGCATGTGAGTTTACAGAGGAAGAGATTCTAATTCAACTGGGAAAAGTAAAGACAAATAAGTCGATGCAGCCTGATGCGATACACCCAAAGTTATTAAAATAACTTAGTGGTGTGCTAGCAA